AAAAAGAAAAAAAAAAAGATACTGCTGTTACTGTGTTACTGTCTTTAGCATCCACTTTTGCTGTTGAGAAGTGGCCTTTCTGTTTGTTTGTTTAACTCCTCTACCCCTGACTCTTTTGGAGTGTGTGTTTGTGTGGATGCCAGAGATCAACTAACAGGTGTCTTTCTCTATTGTTCCTCGCCTTTTTTGAGGCAGGGTCTCTTATTGAACCTGGAGTTTGCCAATTCAGCTAAAATAGCTGACCAGCAAGATCCAGGGATACACCTGTCTCTGCCTCCACAGCACTGGGATTACAGGTGTTTGCAGCTGTGCTTGGGTTTTATGCGGCTGCTGGTGATCCAAACTCAGGTACTCATGGTTGCAAGTCAGCACTTTACTGACTGAGCCATATCCCAGCTTCAGACTTCCCCCTCCTAGCTTCCCCCAAAGCTTTGCTTTAGAAGCCAGCTCTTGATCCCTATGCTGTAAAATCGAATACTGATCTGCTTCATTGTGGGCATCTTTTCCATTTATTTTATGAGATGTTTGGTGGCTTCTAGCCATGTGGAAAGTAGGTCTCTCAGATCTGGAGATTTTGCTTGTTTTAACGTTTTGTGTCTTTATTTCTTTTGGAACTCAGATGAAGGTTTGATTTTTTTTTTTTTTTAAGGAAGGGTTTCTCTGTGTAGTACAGGCCGTCCTGGAACTCACTTTGTAGACCTGGCTGGCCTTGAACTCACAGAGATCCACCTGCCTCTGCCTTACAAATACTAGGACTAAAGGTGTGCTTCACCACGCCCAGCCAGATGAAGGTTTTATGCATCCTGGATTTATCTAACTTTACCTTTTCTCTATTTCTCTACTGTCTTTATGTTCTACATCTGAAAAACATTTTCAACTTTACATCCTAACTCTTTTATTCTTTTTAAGCTTTTGAGTTTTGTTTTCTTTTGAGAAAAGGTCTTGCTAAGTGGCTCTTGGCTGGCCTCAAACTCATGATCCTTCTCCCTTAGCCGTCTGAGTGCTGGGATTACAGGTGAGTGTCATCATATTTGGTGCACTTTTTTTTTTTTTTTTTTTTTAGACAGGGGTTCTCTGTGTAGCTCTGGCTGTCCTGGAACTCACTCTGTAGACCAGGCTGGCCTCAACTCACAGAGATCTGCCTGTCTCTGCCTCCGAATGCACCACCACTACCTGGCCATACCGAATGCTTTTAAATATGTCTGTATGTACGATGATGTATAAAATACATATATGTAATTTTTTTCTAAGAGTTCTTTAGTATCTAACTCTTCCTTTTTAAAATCACCATTCTGGTCTTGGCTTATGATGCTTTGTCTTCTCTGAGTAACTGTAGAGTGTTAGTATTCTATTCCAGTTCCCCATGGCATCATCTCCTAATTACATTTTCTTTTTATCCATCTAAAGGCTTTTATCCAACTCCCGGCGTTATTATTTGTTTAGTTTATTTAGTTTTAAAAACTATTTTACTGTTTTATGTGTATGAGTATTTTGACTACATATATGTCTCTGTATCACATGTGTGTCTGGTGCCCACAACCAGAAGTGTGTTGGACCACATGAACTTGAGATACAGATGGTTTAAGTTACCACATGGGTGCTGGGAACTAAATCTCAATCCTCTAGAAGAGTAGCCAATGCTCTTTCTTAACCACTAAGCCATCTCTCTCTCTCTCTCTCTCTCTCTCTCTCTCTCTCTCTCTCTCTCTCTCTCTCTCTAGCTTAGGCTGGCTTAAACTTACAATCCTCCTGTCTCAATCTTAATAGTGCTGGGATTATAAGTATGTGCCAACATGCTTGGCTTCTGGTGATTTATTTATTTATTTATCTATTTATTTGAAAAGACAAGGTCTTACTATGTCACCCTGGATGGCCTAAAACTCACTATATAGACCAGATTGCCTCTGCCCCTTGAATGCTGGGATTAAAGGCATGCACCACCATGCTTGGCCATTTCTGGTGATCTTTAAAGTGAGTTTGGGGGCAGGAGAGATAGTTCAGTGATTAAGAATACATCTTGCTCTTACAGAGAATCCAAATTCAGTTTTCAGTACCCACACCAGGCAGGTTCAACTGCCACTAACTCCAGCCCCAAGGGATCTGATGTTCTCTTTTGGGAGACACACACACACACACACACACACACACACACACACACACACACACACACTTACTTTTCTTTTTTAATAAATCAGTTCATATTTACAAGTAAAGCCCTTCTTGCTGCTGCAAAGCTGAGGGTTGACTAGTGGCTTCAATCACAGTGTCTAGACAGCAAGTCCATGGGGAGCCTGGTCATGGATAGTACTCAGGACCACTGTTTCTACAGAGATATTCCTAATTCCCAGTCACCAGGTAGAAAGGAGGGCATCCAGCAGATGGTTAGCCTTTCTACCAGTCATGAATGGGGGTTGAGAACCAGAGTATACTGAACCACTGTCCGCCAAATTCCTCCGTGGAGTTTTACCTCTGGTGTTTTCAAGACCCAAGCTCCAACATGCCCTTAGATTAAATCTCTGGTCTGCAGGCAAAAGAGATCTGTTCTCAGAGTCAGCTGGGATAGGGAAGAGAACCTGGAAGTTTAACCTTATATACATACATACTTCTATATCAGCCCCGTGTGTCCTTGTCTCTACCCTTGGCCATTGGGTCCTAGGGTGAATGGCTCACTTACTCCCAACACTTCTCTATGGATCCTTTGAGAACCTGTAAGTCAGCCAACACTCTATACTCAAATGATGCTTGCTTGCTTGCTTCCTTCCTTCTCTCCCTCACATGTCTTATGTACCCCATGCTACCTTCAAACTCTTTATGTAGCTAAGGAAAACCTTGAACACCTTCTGAGTACTGTGATCAGAGGTGCATGTTATCACTATGCTCAGTTTATGTAGTACTAGGGATGGAACCCAAAGCTCCAGTCATGTTAGGCAAGCACTCTAGCAGCTAAGCTATATCTCCATCCATATTACCCAAATCTTCTTTAGATGTCCCCTTCAGATTTCTGCACTATATATAGATTTATATGGGGTGTGTGTGTGTGTGTGTGTGTGTGTGTGTGTGTGTGTGTGTGTGTGTTATTCTATATTGTTATCTTAGAGAAAAAGAAAACACAAGGGTGACCCTCCTAGGTCTACAAGTGGCCAAGAGGCCCCCAGAGCCTCTGGCTCCATTCTTTCCAAGATGAACCCTCAGTACCTAGTATTGTATATTTGTAGACACAGCTGCTATTGCTCTAGTCTCTTCTTAACTCCCCTTTGAACTTTTTATTTTTAAAATAGGTTAAGCCTCATAGAGTTATTAAAACAACATATATGCAAGTGTAGGCTGGTGAAATGGCTCAGCAGGTAAAGGCACTCGCTGCACACGCCTGGCAACCTGGGTTTGACTCCTAGAACTCATGGTGGAAGAAGATAAACAACTCTTGAAAGTTATCCTCTGACCTCCACACATGATACGTCATGTACATGCTTACACTCACATATCATACACACACAAACACATACACACCCCACAGCAC